AAATACATGTGATAAAACATTCTCAAGAGCCAGTTTCAGGTCTCTATCGCAAACCTGAAAATGGTTCACACCACGTTTCGTTGATGTATGTGAACACAACGACAATTGCCACTAAAATTAATCTTTAACAAAGTATTTTTCAAAAAAGGCTTGGATAAACTTTTTACCCACTCCCAAGCTTCATTTTGTAAATGCATATTCAAGGAAAACTAGAGAAAACACGAAATCAGTGAACTGTAAGACAAAAAGATTATATTGCAGAGGTCTAGCCTCAACCTTCCTTGAGGACAGTGAAAACAAGACTTAAAGATTATATGGTTTCAATTACAAATATCTAATTGGATTCTAGCTTTGTAGGTTCAATGTATTATATCACACCCAATCTTGGGGATGACTGCAAACAGACGGAAAAAATCTAGTATTAACACGATTTCTTTTTTTGGCATGTCATCCCTCTCAAGCCTTTACAGGTAAGTAACGAGCAATAAACAGCAGAAGTTCTTTCCCCTTTATATTAAATATGTACCTTCCGTGGTCTTATCTGCAAAACATTTGTCATATGCCCTGCAAGACATCTCTCTGCTAGTAAAATGCCAGCCAACAGAGTTTGATGAACAGACTGATGAAAGGTCAAATGGCTTTTCTAACCATCTCTTCCTTCTATAAATGACAACAATGCTACCACTGGATTATGTACAATACATCCTTCTACCCTATCACAGCCACAAAACTACAGAGTTTTCTCTGCAGTTTTCTGCATCAGGGCATTTAAATTGCAGAAAAAGGGAAAAAAAAAAGGCTATAATCGGTTTTTCATGAAAGCACAGTATTACACAACTTCTCAACGGTGGCTTTCTTTCAAAACAGAAAAATGTGCAAATTCTAAGGAGAATGCAGTGTTGCACAACACTGAGAAAATTGAAGACAGAGACCAACATAATGAGCCACAGACTTTGATTTCTGTAAGAAAGGTCAGATTTCCTTTTCTCCTGTCACTAGTACAGAACACATTTTTGTTTTAATACGGTCTAGACAAATTTAGTTTTTTCTGAAACTGGAAAAAAAAATTGCATAGATATGGTTTTCACAAGCTATCAATCTAATTAAGAGAAACTCGGGTCTTCCAGGGAGATCAGTATTTTCTGATTTTAGAGATAAAAAGCACAGATTGACTGAATACGCAAGACTGAATCCATGTCTTGAATACAGGTGTGGGTGGTTTGTTTTTTTTTTTTTTTAAACTACTAGAAGGTGTGAAACAAAGTAGTAAATGACACTTATTGCCATTTCAACAAAATTTGATTCTCTTATTTTTGAAAGTATACATCAGTTCTCATTTATTGCTAAGACCAAGATCTGCATCATGAATTTAAATGATAAGCACTACATAACAGAACCAAGAACTGGCAGTTATTACAGCCCATTACTAACTATGACAAATAAAAAGTAGCTACTTCAAACAGTTATTTTTACTTAGCTATCCCAAAACTAGAATGTTACTTCAACACATAACACATTCAAAGAAAAAGTAAATCTGCTTCACAAATAGATAATGACAAAGAAAAGCTTAAAAACATATTCTGCAGTTACCTCTGATTTTTATTACAAGGGTTAGGGTTACATGGATCCTTGGAAATGCAGGATCCAAATTCAAACTGATTGTCCTGGAGCCCAACACAACGAGCTATGCACGCACTTGGATACGTGCGTCCATTTTGACCACATACTGGTACAAACTGATCTACGCAGTTACACGGCAAACCTGTAAAAGCAACACACAAAACAGGAATTTGGTGCACAGTTTTCTACGACAGAAGATACCAAAGGGGTCACTAAGATACCTTTGCCTTCCAGCAAACGCCAATGTGCCGTATCTTCAGCCCACTCCTCCCTCCTGCCATTTAGCAATGCTGTAGCACATACGCACTTATCAGTAGTAGGAAGAAAAGTTCGTGCCTTGCCCCCTTGCTAATTCTACTCAGCTTTCTCCATTTTTTCCCCAAACTCCTTATCTCTTGACTCTAGTGGCATTACCCTGTCTCTACCTAATTTTACATATCACCTGAGGTTTTATTTTTTAGTACTGATATTTTTTTTAAAGGTATGTTTTTTCTAGAGTGCAGGTTGGACATGAGAAAAATAAATAGTTGTAAGAATTTGTTATATTAATAACAAATTATCAGGTATTTTCCATTAATACTGTAGAAGGAATTTAGAAGCCAATCCTCGCTCTAAGAATATCAAGCTTACAGTTTCCATCGTTTGGAAAGTTACCTGTAAACTTCCGACGCTCATCTTCTGAACTATGCTCAGTCAGACACTGACGTGTAGAACATATCAAGTTTCCAGCAAAACATGAACAGACATTACAATCGATATTAAAGGACGTCCCATGGCCTTAAAATAAAGTAAATGCATACAATTAATGCAAACATACCAGAAGACTATATACTCCTATGCATTGCACAGATACTACATTTTCAGTATTGTTCTTGTAATTTCCCTTATTGTTTCTATAAATTTCTATCTTTTGTTAATTTCAAGTTTTGCTTTATTAATTTAAAGAACAAGTCTGTTCACATGTGGTTTTGATTAATGAGTTAAACAAGGAAGCAACCACTTTATCATTTCAAAGCCTGTATAAGTTTTTTTTTTTAAAGAACAATTTAAAGCTGCAAAAAAGAAATACACTCAGAAAACAGACGAAGTGGTAGCACAGTACATAGTACTTCTATAAATTCTGTCTAGCAAGCTCCATATTTTTAAAGGTAAAGCTTTTGTAAAGGTATGTTCTTCTCCTAAATTAACTTTACGTAAGACTGCTAAACTTTCTGCCAGGTCTCAAACACAGTGCTCATTTTGTTAAGAGGTTAAAAGTGTCAATGCTTCATTCCAGTCTTTGCTGTTTTGCAGCATCGATTATGGCCGTAATTTCAGCATCGACAAGCTGTACAAGCTACAATGCAGCTTTGTCCAGAGCAGGGAACAAGAAAGACTGGAACAAAGCTAACAGAAACCCAGGCCTAGATTCAGCACAAGACAATCCCAAATACAGAGGTCAATGTTCAGCCCCTGCCTTTCAGAAAGGAGCTTTTGGAGGATGGAGCAATCTGCCTCATTTTTCCATGTTATAAGTCAGTCACTTTTCATACCTAAATCTAAGAATCAAACTGCAAACTTGGGGAATTTTTCTTCAATGTAGCAATTCCTGTGTGGTTTTGTGAACTGTCCGTATGACTGCCCTTCCCCGTGTTGTATGTTTTATATAAAATCAATTCACGTTGGTGACAGCCAGTCTACCAGGTCGGCTATTAAAGACTACCAAAAAATACACAGCGCCTTGGGAAAAGGTAAGAGTAACTGTGCCTTACAAAATGAGGCTATTCTCTCTAATCTCTTTTCAAAGGGTTGAGATTAAGGATTTTTGAAAAATATTACAGGGGCACAAAGAAAATCCTCAGCATTTAAGCAATTCAGAAGAGGTCCTCCTAGACAAGTGATGGCAGAACAACAAAAGGGATGGAAGAGAAAGCCTCTGCACCAAAAAAAGCTCTGTTTAAACCACAGTACTACCCAAGGAAGAAGGGATTTGGCAGCAGGGAAGAAGAAAACTTTCCAAGATTTGAAGGTCATGCCAAACACAGGATCTTTTAGGTCATTCTTCAGAGTGAAGAGTAACTGTCTTAGGATCCACTTGAAAGCTCTGCAAGACTACTGGCTTTCACCATCAAAGAGTGCACACAGCAAACTGCTCTCTTCACCAGCAGTCGTTATATAATTGGAGTCAATTCACAACAAAAACCCCCCCAGTATCAGATAAAGCATCCAGGGTTCTTTGGTTTCTAAAGAATGATTCTAAAAACCACAGTTCAGATTTTATTACCAAACCCAAGCTTTTCGCAACTGACCTCTAAAGCAATTAAATACAGTAACTATAAGAAGTTCATATGGTGACAGTACATTTTTAATTATTTGTCTTCAATAGATCATCTAAGAAATTCAGAATTCAGTGATTTTTATCTTTTATTATATAATACCTAGAGTCTTAATCACCATATACACAATGAATAACTACAGCAAAAGAGAGGACGTTGTCTGGTTTTGGTTTTGTAGTAATCTGTCTGTTGTTGGTATGGTTTTTTTTTAAATGGACAGCACTTACTGAATACTGAATACCGACCAGCTATACATACGTGCTACAGTTAGCCCAACAAGCTGTACACTGTGCAAACATAAAACACAAATACAACTCCACATGGTTTTGTGATTATTTTCACCAATAATCTGAAAAAGTGGAAGTTTCTTTGGACAAAATGGTCCATAAGATGTTCCAGTCACCATTTAAATAACATATTTACTAATGCTTATATTTTAAAAGCATCTACTTCCACCAGATACTTTCTATACCTGCCCATCTAACATATCATTAAGGTTCAGATGTTTTCAGTGTTCTACTTCCATGAACAAATAGTACCAATTTGGCAATACAAACTAAGTTTGAAGTGTGTTTGGCTGACTTTTATCCTCTTTGGATGAACAAAAAAAGCCCCAAACATTCCTCCTGTAAACACATGGAACGTTACAGGCAGACTTTCCGGAATGATGAAAATAACTGCACAATTCAGTATTCAGCTCTGCTTTCTAAAGTATCCCAATTACCTACTCTTTCATGATTTCAGGGTTTGGTTCACAAACAGAAACTTATGCTTGTGACAAATGCAACTACAACAGGTGCCTTCCTTCTTAAGATTTACTTAATGTGAAAATAATTCTTTCTTATTACATGGTAAAAAAAGTGACTCTGTTACATTGGACTTATTAGGTATCTTCATCTTGCTTTAATTATGCCTGGACTTCAGCCTGACAGTATTTCAAAAGGGCTGATTTACAGACACAAACAATGTCCAGTGCTGAAATACCTAACTGTTCACTAGCAGAAGCGCTCTTGCTTGCCAACTGATTCCAAGACATCACCTTCAGATGGGTTACAGCTCAGCATAGACTCCATTTTATATTTGAGACATTTTGTAAGATTTTCCCTTAGTAGTAGCTTTTTATTTTGTTTTCAAAAAGCACAGCGCCAGTTTGCATGACAAAAATAGCCCTTTGAACCTCTCAAGCAATGCATAAATCTCAAAATAAACCAATATCGTCTTTTTAAGAAGCATTACTTGTCAACTCTCTTTCCACTACTTTGACTGTCAGATTAGACAGAACCCAATTAACGCTCATTACCAATGCCAACTTAATCTCTGAACAATAACAGTAAAGTTATTTTAGAAAATTAATAATTTACTCCTAAGACAAGAAAGAGATAGTTAACATTCTTTTGTTGTTAAAATAAAAAGCTGTTAATCTTATAGTTACCTGGCAGAAGGAAACCAGCATAAGGTCTAGATCCACCATGCTGAGGAAGACTGCACAGAACCAGTGTTCAATATGCCCGAGTTACCATAATGTATCTGCTTATGTGTTCAGGCTAGCCCCACTGATTAATATGCTAAACTACAATTCTTATTTAATATTAATTTCATTTAAAAAGATAATACTTTTTTTTTTTCCTCAAATGTATAGGCCACCTTGCGATACTTAATTGCAGGCTATCAAGGTTTCAAAGAAATCCAAGTGCAGAGGACAGTCTATGATGGGTATGTATTTCTAACACGTTTGTATGTGTTAGCAGAACAGTCTTTTACACACTTTTTTTAAACCACTGTCCTTGGTGTAAAACGTACCAACTCACTCAGTAAAAGAAACTCCCTCTCCAGAATGCCATGTGAGCTAAAACAGCACCACTGCCTAAAGGGGTATCCCATTTATTACCTGATGCCAAGGGAAGAGAATGTGGGGATTGTGCAAAACTTATTAAGGGATGGTTAGCGGAAGGACTGAAGATGATGAAAAGAAGGAATTAAGATGGATTAAGCATGAAGATGTGTGGCAAACCAGAGGGAAAAAGGGAATCCCATCCCTGGAGGGGTTCAAGGCCAGGCTGGATGAGGCTTTGGGCAACCTGGGCTAGTGGGAGGTGTCCCTGCCCATGGCAGGGGGTGGCACTGGATGGGCTTTAAGGTCCTTTCCAACCCAAACCATCCTGTGATTCTCTGATTCTATTCTATGAATGGCTGAGTGTAAGCAGGGGGCTGGGCAGTACAATTCTCTGACTGAACCTGGCACTTGATCACCACAACCTATCCTGTATTTTTATTCAATCCTATTTTCACCTTCTTTGTGTGTGGTGCTTCCTACTCTATGTGCATGAACACTAATGAAGTTTAAGCTGGATGAATCACTAAGTAGGATAAGAGGTCTGTGTGCTAGCTACTGGAGTGGAAACACAAACCTTGGGAGCTCATGGGTCCAGATGCCACCAGCTCTGGGAGACTGGCATCTGGGGGGCAGCTGGCAGAGAAACCGTATCTCAGGCACACTACTGGACAGGACTTTATTCTGCGTGCATATATTCCATTAGTGGGCTTCACTTCTGGTCAGCAGCAGAACAGGAACAGGCTTGGGCCATATGGGCTGTTCATGTTTGCGCTGAAGTTACGTGTGTCTACGTGGGTGCCAGTAACAGCACTGACTTCGGTCTGTGTTGAGCAGCGTGCCTGGCCAGGTCAGCGGCGTGTGTGTGCCTCTGTGCATGTGTCTGTTGGGAAGATGTCCAGTGATTACTGTTCTTGTTCACTGCTAATTCAGACATTAATAACTATTTTAATAAAACTAGTTCTATGCAACTTTCACACCTCCAGCTGGGTTTGTGGTAGGAGGGAGGAGCACACAGTGAGCACCTGATCAATACAGGAAAGAACCACTTTGAAGGTAAGTCAGCAACAAGAAGAAGAAGTAAAATATTATCTTGCACCCCTGTTCTCTGCAGAGGCAGGTCAAATTCTAAACTGCGTACCTTCTTCACAGGCAACGTGTTAGAGAACCTGCCTCAGAAGCAGCTCTTGGGCAGACAAATGCTAATGACTCTGCAAGACCAGAAACACTCACCACAAAAACTCCGGGTGAACTCAGGGGTAAATACCTGCTGATATAAGCAAACTTACTTATACCCTCTTGCTTTAAACTTCCCCAGGGTTTAGATACCAATGGAAGTGGCTAAAATGTCTATTTTAAAATAGACATTTTTTTAAAAAGGGTTCTGTGCATTAATAAAAGTAAACTTCATTTTGCACAACGTGAATGGGGTAAAAGTTTGCATCGGTGGACAGATGCCTATACACGATACACCGAGGGAAAGAATCACAGCTTTTGCGCAAGTCACAAAACAAATCTTTTAGGATTATCTGAAAGGAGTCCATAAGTATATGGACAACAGAAAATCAGGTTGATACACTTCAACACTCAACAGACATTTAATAGCTCTTTAACATAGGGTTTCAAGAAAAAAAAGTAGAGAGAGAAAAAAAAAGGCACTCATATGGATAAATAAGTGTGAAAGAGAATAAATGGGCAATGAAGGGAGGTCACTGGAGGAGTCTCCACGATTTATGTAGTGGCTGTTCTGTACAATGTACTTCTATGTGATCCAAAATCCAAATACAAGTCTATCAATAACATTAAGGTACAACGGACCAAATAATGAAGAACTGCAATAAAATCTCACCACACTGAGCACCTAGAAAAGGATATAGCAGATGAAATTCATTATATTGAACATAAAGTGGTTCTCTACGATTCACAGAATGAGCTGTGAGCTGACCTTTTCTACTTAAGGACTGGACCACGGTGTTACAATAGACAACTCTGTAAAAGCATGACCTCAATAGAATGAGTAGCCAAAACCAGATCATGTTCAGAATAATTATGACAGGAACATAATTTTGCTATTACATACACTTGATTGGGCACGTGTGGGCACACTGGTGAATGGCGCGTGAAGTTCCATTTGTCATTTCAACAGAAAATGTAAGAACTAGAAAAAGGCATGCAGTAGGGTAATAAATATGATCAAAAAGTACACAATTGTTTTCATATAAGGAATGATTAAATGGAATAGGAAATGGCTCGGACAAAACCCCATAAAGCTAAGGGGAATATGACAGATCTGAAAGAGAAGGCAAATAGGCAACAATTATTCATCAGCTGTTTCAATACAAGAATTAGGATGAATCTCTTGAACTAAAAGGAACCAGATAAAACAAACTATTGAGGCTCAAATTAAAAGAAATCCCTTGCAAACCTCACCAAAAAAAACCCCCAAAAAACCCCAAACAAAAAAACCCCACAACAAACCCCAAACAAAAAAAAAAAACCAAGGAGGGTTTTTAGGCACACGTATCTTAACATGTGGAACTTCTTGCCAGGGGTTATAGCTCATGATAAGAGTTTCTGACTTGTTTTTTTTTAACCCAAATTTAAAATAAAAAAATTAAATTATCTGCTTTTTCTAATACTCTTCCCCAGAGACCTCCACTGGTCACTGGATATCCAATGCCATTAAAAGTAGACTGAGAATACCTGAGAGTACCTCCAGGAAATGGGCAGGTATGTATAGTCATTTATATAGTGCTTAAACCTCAGAACTACAGCATGCTTAAAGCAGATCAATTTGTTTTGCTGTTGCTGCTTCATCCCTGCTGCCTACTGGCTTCTCTCAGAACTTTTTCCCCTTCTCAATCCTCAGAGCTTCCACCAGCAAGTTCTTCTACCAGAAAGGAAACTACCTATTATCAAGCACCATAAATACAGGGGATGCGAGGCAAGTCAGTGACCTTTCCATTGAGAAATGGTGTACTAGGAACATGCTTCACACAGGACCTTCATTGGCTGAGACGGCATATGTAAGAATTAAACAAGTGTTATATATAGGGGTGCAAACATTAACTTTTGTATTTTCTGATAAACTGCATTCAGATCTGCTGGGTCTTCATTTATACCTACCGCAAAATTCACAACTTACGGAACAGTTACTGTATAAAGACATAATTACTGTTCTAATACTTACTTTTTCTTTGTCCTCCAACAATGCATGATTTTTGGAGGTCAACACAACGCATTTCCATGCAGTTTTCTAGCAACCCACTGTGTCCACAGGTACAAATCTTGTAACAGCCAACATCACCAGCTGAGGATGGAACCTGAATAAGCGTACCTTGACGGACAATAAAATCCGACGCTTCTCCCAGTTTGCAACCTATATACAAGGAGAAATTTCAGCTCATATTTAGTAAATACTTCGACAAGTGCTACTACCAAAAATAACTACTACTTTGACTTGCAAAAAAGCTAATGTGTTCCTAAAGCGGCCTTGCTCTCGCCCTTTAGACAAATTCACTCATTTCATAGAGACAGCAAGTAGCAGAAATGGAAGATATTTGCTTGAGGCAATGTTCTCAAGTACCTGTAGAAATGTCACTTCAGAGAAAAGGACTGGTAATTCCAACAATTCTCAAGTAATCTCATTTTCCACAGTCCTTTAGTAGTATGAAATGTATGAGATATTAGAAATACCACCTATGCTTCACTCTCTCCAACACACAAATTGAATTAAAGGGTTTCACAAGCAAAGCTCAGCCATATCCCCTCTCTCACGCATTTTATTGTGTCTTCCTTTCCTACTTGTACCTCTTACGTGATTTTCAGATGACTTTGAATAACTTTTGCAGCAAGTGAAGACATTAAAACTCTATAGTAATAATACTTAGCTTCTCAGAAAAACAAAAATATTTTATAATATTTACAAAATAATGTCCCTAGGCATAACCAAAACAATGTCCCTAGGCTCACAAAAAGAATGAGTTGAAGTCTATCCTCACTTTTAGAAAAGGACCAGTGTAGCAGATGTACGAGTGAAGCAACACCCAGTAGTCACTGGAGAAATTGCTTATCAGCCACAGAACTGCTGGAACAAGAGGCTTGGGGAACTGATGTGAGACAGTTAACAGCAACGTGGTCCATCACTTCCTCTAGAAAGGAGGCTGCTTCATGCAATTCAGTTTAAAAATCAGCGTCACTCTCACTCGCTCCGTCTCTCTCAACACATGTGTTCAAGTGGTCACCAAATGCAAGCCTTCCTCTTTGCTTCAACAACCATAGGTGATCGCTCATGTCACTGAATGATGCCTTTAAAGTAAAAGGAATGGGGAAAATTGTGGCAAGCACTATTGGTGTCTAAGGTAGAACAACGAAGAGGCTGTGGAAGTTGGACACTGTACAGTCTCCCACCTCTTTTTGGAGATTTGACCCTTGTCATCAACACCATCCAAGCCTGCCATTTCAAAGTTAAGATAGCTGAAACTCGTCCTACGAGCCTCTCTCCCCAGTCAGCTCACATTTGCACATGGTGCAGAAGTTAGACAACACCTATGTTCTAAAAAAGCAGTTCCCAAATGACCATGAATGCCTTTCTAGCCAGGTGCACCTACATTAGAAGTATCACGCAATGGAACAGGAGCAGAAATGCAGTCAGCTGTGTACTGCTGCATCTCCAGACGTCATCTTTAATGAGAAGTGCTACCATGAGTCTCGTGGAAGGACAAGGCAGCACAAGATCCATTATTCATATTTTTGTCATTTTCCAAAGCCAGTGTCTTTTTCCTCCAAACTACAAGTCTACATACAGATTTAGGAGACACAGAGCTCATCTGCCTTGCAGCTTTGCCTTTTCCTCCAGTCAATGAACTCACAGTGCTGTCAGTCATTAAAGATGAAGTGCAGAGATGCTGCATCAGTGCTGCAAGCTCAAGCAGCAGAGAGAAGAAAGGAGAGGCAAATAAATTAAGTGCCATGTCACTTCCTTCCCAAGCCCTAAACCTGGGCACTCTGAATCCAGTGAAGCAGAAACAGGGAAGCTCTTAAGAAAAAGTCTGGGTATCTATTTCCTCAAACTGGAACTAGTTCCCCATGAATGGCTGGAGAGATTTCAAGAAGTTGACCTGGCCTATGAAGGAGGATTTGGGACGACTCCATGTAAGATACCGTCCTGAACTTTAGCCTAACACCGGCATTGCTGCTCATGCAAATGTACATCCCAGGGCACCCTGCACTTGATCAGTTTCTCAGAGCTCTCAAAACGTCCTCCCAAGACACCAAATGTAATTTCCATTTATGTTACCAGTAAGGATATGGCTAGCAATGTATGGAAATACACGGGAATACGTGCCATGCTGTCTGCAGGAGCAGTGAGCTGCACTGTATTTGCAGTATTGCATGCTTTTAATTTTAAATAGCAGGCAGGCTGCTTAGAGACCATGCATGGACATATATGTCTTCTGAAGCAAAATACATAATATATCTTCTAATAAGACATTATCTTTCAGTAGACAATAAAAATAGAAACATATCAAGAAATGAAAGAGAGATAGAAGGTAGGCTACAACTTTTGAAAACACAGGATAATTGTGATAGCAGTTCTTTTGGGATGTCAGCAATTCACTTTAAAACTTTCAACAAAATTTCAGACAAAGTCAAAAAACCCCTACCTGGCACACACAAATACGGAAGACACAGTTCTCCAGGCTGACATCCTTTTCTATTTACTTCACATAACTGATTAGCTGCACATGGATTTGGATTACACGGATGTGTAACATCTTCTACAACATTACCTAGAGGACTTGGGCCTGAAAACAGAATATGTAGCGTCTATATTGGTTTGAATGAGATTTATTTTTCTTCAGTAAAGTACAGCATTTCTTACATTCAGTAAAATAATATTTTTGACAATTCTGCAAAATATTTTTTATTTTTTAAACTATACTTGTAAAAGCTTGACATGACAAGGCAGTTAACTTCTTTCAAAAGTTTAGTCCTCAATCCTGGAAACAATGACCCAGATGATTCTTCAGTAGCAAAATATATTTCCTCTATCTTGTTTGCCCAATAATTTTCCATCTATGACAAAAATACAAACTGACAATGATGAGGAGTTTAATCAAGAGAAGTCCCACAGTCAATGATTAACACATTGGAGGTTTAAAGTATACTTGTTGTTTAACCAAGTTTGCTATCACTGATAAACTTTCATTTCTGTTTTCCCTTTAACTCACTAGTACTGTTCTCCTGTTACAAGATTAAGGAAAGGGAAGACAACATGGAAAAGCAGCAGCTAAATGGAAAGAACCACCCAGAGCTCCAATACATTGTCTCTCTGGCAACAATTTATTTGTTGAGGGATGCTTCCACTTGCAGCTCCTACTAACCAAAATTTTACTAGTTTCCTGGGGTTCTGAGAAAGAAATCTCAAAATTTAATTTGGAAAAGGTCCAAAATAGATAAATCCTATAAAGCCCAAAAGGTCTAAATCCTACAGAGATAAGTGTGCAATTGGAAGTAGTAACAGGGTAGAGCAGATTTGGAAATTAATGTAAAAAGATGCATTTAAATGAAAACTAGAACCAAGATGAAATTTTACTAAGATAATTGTGCTCTGCACTGAGGGATAAGACATGCTAGAAGAAAACAGAAACACAACAACTTCATTCTTCCACATATCTACTAAACTCATGTTCTATTGCCCCAAGAGTTAATTTGGTTTTTTGCTTATTGTAATTGCACACTTAAAGAACAGAGCTTATGTATTGGGCAAGTGTCATTTTGTACATCAAGAAGTTGTGCTCTAAATCATGTTATTGTTTAAGGGACATTTATGCGAGATCAGTCCTCCCAAGCATGATCCACCTTTTGTCCTGTAAATAAACAGTGCTAGTGGTTTTATTATTATAGTACTTTTTTTGGCATGTGAGATGACTTGTTGAAGAACAGAGTTTTCTTAAAATAAGATGAACTAGTCTATTTTCAAGTAGGTAAAAATAATTGAAATTCAACAAGTCAAATTATTAGATGATACAGATTAGTGTCCTTGCACTGACTAGCTGAAGTCCCCACAAGAGAAATGTGGTGGGCCAGCCTTGTTAACAGCCAAACTCCCACACAGTCCCCTCACCCAAATGGGATGGGGGTAGATTACCATCACGGGGAAAACTGACTTGACTTGGGGAAAATTAATTACATTTATTGACAATTAAAATAAATAATTACAATTCAGGTAATGGGAACAAAAAAGATAAAACTTTTAAGCAACTTCCTTCTTCCTCTTTTTCCCAGGCTTACCTTCACTCCAGATTTCTCTGCCCCTGCTGCAAGTGATTCAGCAGGGACTGGGAAAGAGGGGCAACGGTGACTATGGTCAGTACACACCAGTTTCTCTCTGCTGCTCCTTCCTTCTTGCACTTTTCCTCTGCTCCAGCACAGGCTCTCCATGGGCTGCAGCTTCCTTCAGGGTGTACCCACCTGCTGTGGCACAGGGTCCCACAGGCTGCCTTCTGGATATCTCCTCTGCCATGGAGCATCGCCTCTGCCTGCTCCTCCGACCTTGGTGTTCTTCCTCTTCCCTTCTCCCCCACCTGTCTGGCACTTTTTGCCCTTTCTTAAACATCTTTTCACAGAGGCACCACAAACTTGCAAAATGGCTCAACTTTGGCCCCTAGTGGGCCCATTGCTGAAGCTGGCTGCATCTGGCACAGTGCAGCCCCGACATCTTCCTATACAGCCCCTGCAGCCTCCACTGCTACCAAACAACCTTGCCAGATACACCCAATACAAGAAGGAATAAATGTAATGAGCTACGGCAAGTTGAAAAATCCAATTTTCTCTAATATGTTAAATAACATGTCTTAAATTCAACACACTTTTCTTTAAAAGAAATAATGAACATTATTAAAAACAACAACAAGCATTCAAGGTATCTTGGCTTCTAATTTGGTTGCATAGGCATGCTGACACTTACTCAGGTATGTATCCAAAGGGATACAGTTCTCCAAGTCATCTGTTGGAGATAAGAGCTCGCAAATACTTTCAGCTGAGTGGCCTTCAGGGAATTTATTATGATCTCCACATTTCTTCAGTATTTCCACACAATCTGATCTTCAGACAAATAAAGAAACAGAACTTCATGAACACTACTTGAAAAAAAAAAAAGTCTTGTATGTAAAAGATTTCTTTCTGCATTATTCTCTTCCCTGAATCCATAACTTTTCCCTTTTGCCTCACAACAGTGTTTTTTATAGATACGTGTGCATGTATATATTTTTTTATA